ACTGTCCTCATAGAGCTTGAGCAGGTGCATGAGCTCCCTAGCTTGATTGGGTTCAGCCTTACAGAATATTAAGGAGTCATCCGCAAAAAACAAGTGTGTGATTGAGGGGCCTCTTCTACTAATTTTCATACCAGTAATTTTCTTATGCTCTTCAGCCTTTTTGAGGAGATTAGACAGCCCCTCCGAGCACAAGAGGAAAAGATACGGTGACAATGGATCACCTTGTCTTATACCCTTATTTGGAGTAACAAAACCTCTGTGCTCCCCATTGATGTTAAAAGAGTATGTGACTGAGGCAAGACAGGTCATGATCCAGCTGATCCATTTGTTGCAAAAGCCCATTTTCTTCATTACCACCTCCAAGAACCTCCATTCCACCCTGTCATACGCTTTAGACATGTCCAGTTTTAAAGCCAAAAAACATGCATTTCCTTGCCTTTTGTTCTTAAGATGGTGCAAAAATTCATGTGATAAAATCACATTGTGTAGTATTTGTCTTCCTAAAACAAAAGCAGCTTGGTTTTTGCATATACAAATATCCAACACCTTTTTCAGTCTATTAGCAAGAATTTTAGAAATCACTTTGTAAATGACATTGCAAAGACTAATGGGTCGGTAATGCTTCAAATCAGTGGGGTTACCTAACTTAGGAATAAGAGAAATTACTGTTTTGTTCATAGCCTTAAGCATGTGGTTGGAATGGAAGAAACTTTGGATGGCCTTAACCGTGTCTTCTTTAATGAGGTACCAAAACTTTTGGAAAAAAAGAGGGGACATTCCATCTGGTCCTGGGACTTTATTAGGATGTATTGAGAACAAGGCTTTCTCTACTTCTTTTTCATTTACAGCTTTGGTTAAGTTGTTGTTTAATTGGTCAGTGATTGAGTGTGGAATTCCATCAAGTATTTCCTCCAAACACTGCCCTCCAGAACTAATGAACAACTTTGGATAATACTCCTCAACTTCTGCCCCTATCTCTTGTTCATTATTAGTCCAAGTCCCATCTTCTCTTTGGATATTTAGTATCTTATTCCGTATCCTCCTACCTTTAACACATGCATGGAAGTAGTGAGAGTTCCGGTCACCTTCCCTTAACCAACTTACTCTAGCCTTTTGGCTCCAATACAGTTCCTTCTCCTCATAGGCTTGTGTCAACTGGTCTTTCAGTTCTTTATATTTCTCCCTACTATTTTGGTCTGACCCCTGTCTGATCTCTACCAGTTACTTCTTCAGTTCCTTAATTCTCCTTCGTGAGTTCGCCTAAAACTTGTTACTCCACTTCAATAACTCAACTCGGCAATTGGCGATCTTTTGTTTTAGCTGATACATTCTTGATCCTTCACACTCAACATTCCAGGCTCTTTCCACTACCTGACACATGCCTGCCTTGTTTAACCATCTTTTATCAAAATAAAATCTCTTTTTCTTTTTCCCAACTGAAGGATTTGAATCAATTAATAGCATACTGTGATCTAATCCAAAATTTTCCACATGCTTACAAATTGCTCGATCAAACACATGGAACCATTCGGTGCTGCACAAGGCTCTATCCAGCCGCTCCTTGACTTCATCTTCCTTATCCCAGTGGTTTGACCAGGTCCATGGATTGCCTACAAAACCAATGTCCACCAAGTTGTTCGTATCTATAAAATTTCTGAAGTCCCTAAAGGTCCATTCCTCCCTTATTCTTCCCCCCCACTTCTCATCATTCGCCCTGATATCGTTGAAGTCACCTGCAATGATCCACTTGGCTCCCCATAATCTACTTCTGTCCTTAATAACTTTCCATTGTTCCCTTCGGATAAGCGTATCACAACTAGCGTACACACCAACAAACCACCAATCTTGTTGTGATTCCAGATCATTGAGATGCACTTCTAAGGTGAAAGCTGATTGGTAGGCCTGTACCACCTTTACCTCATTTTTCCACATCAAGGCCATGCCACCTGATCTATTCATAGCTTCGACAATGATACTTTCCTCAAAACCAAGTTTCTTTCTAACATTCTCCATAAACCTTGCTTTATTCTTAGTCTCACTGAGATAGATCACACTTGGGGAGAGGAGGTTATTAGCCTTCTTCAGCTAGAGAATTGTCAAGGGGCTCCCCGCACCTTGACAATTCCACACCAGCACTCTCATTGACCATGGGGAGACCATGTCAGGCTGGCCTCCACCTCCTCAGAAAGGATCACTTCACCTCCCAGATCATTGCACTTCTTATTCTTCTTTGATTTCTGCTCGATCATCTCAAAATCCCGCATATCCACCTCAATCTGGTTACACTTCCTCTTCCCTGGAATTTCCAGCTTCCCCTTATTTCCATGCAGTTCCTTCAAAGGTCTACTAGCTCTAACCTGTGGTTTATACCTCCTCTTCACTCCCTTGACCTGTTTGGAATGTGAGGCTTCCTGCTGCTCCCTAGTGTCCATTTCCATTTGTACTACTTTTTTGAAACCACTATCTCCTTATTCTCTTGTGCCTTCACTAGTTCCGTTTGGCTTTCGTCATCTGTTGACTTGCAATTCTCCGGAAGTGTTACCTCCTCTCTACCTATCTTTGGACCGTGATGATCCTTTTGTAATCCTTCTGCACTTGTATTCCTGCCAGTTGCGTCTGGAATATGTATGTCAAGCCCTCGATCCAGACTCCAAGATGCTTCACCCCCCTTACCTTGTCCTTGGTCCGTATCCTGTATGTGCTGGACTTCTACATCCTCTCCTATGTTGTGTACATCCATTAATTGTCTTTTAACATCCAGGTTAAAACTGGACTTGCTCCCCAGCTCAAATCTACCAGTTCCCCTCTGTACTTCCTCCCCTCCATCTATTCCTTTAGCTCCTACTCCCTCTTTGGGGACTAGCTCTCCATTTTTAAAGCCCCAAACAGCTCTACCCTTTGTGTATCTGTTATCTGGCAGGTCTTCTTGTGGTGAGCCCTTTTCCCAACTTACTCTTATCCACGGACCATACTGATTGTCCTGCTTATCTTTTCCCAGTCCCACCTCCGCTTTACAGCTCCTCTCACTATGCCCCACTATCCCACATTTATAACAAACGTCAGGACACCTTTCATAACGGAAGGACAACCATTTTATTGTTCCATTTAACTGGACCGTAGTACGTCTCATCAAAGGTCTGGAAATGTCTACATCCACTAGGAGTTTGAGGTGCCTTCCTTCCTTGCCTCCTATTTGGGGGACAATCACCTCTCTCACCCCTTTAAAAACCAGTCCAATTTTTTGACCCACATCCTTTGATAACCAATGCACAGGTAGCTTCCATACTTGGAGCCAAAGTGGAGCAATTCTAAAAGCCTAGTCGTCTTCCTCAATCCCTTCTGTCCACTTTTTCATCACCATGATTTGATTATCCAAAATCCAAGGCCCTCCCCCTAATATCCTGTCCCGCACGTTTTCAGCCGGTATAAAGAACTGGAAAAGGTTGGGGCCAAGTTCAACTATCTTCAAATCCTTAGGATACCCCCACGTCGTGTTCACAAAATTTTTGACACCCACAAAGTTAGTCACTTTTTCGCCCACTATTCTTCCAACCAAGCTTACCTGACATTCTCTTATTGCAGAGTCCACATCTCCAAGATCCAATGCTGCTCCGCCTAGCTCCTCCTCAGACAGGGCAAACTTTCTTAGTATGTCTGCTAACCCATCTGCCATCGTGACTCAAAGGAAAAACTGATGGAAATTCACACTGAAATCCTAACCAAGCTAACCTCAACCACCCAAATCTAAAAAGAAAAAGAGGAAAAAAGAAAAGTTCCCAAAGAAGCTGCTTGTAGGGAGCTAAAAACTAACAGACCTGACTTAATGCACCATCTTGTATAGCAAGGAAATGTAGAAGATTGGATTTAAAGGTACCTGTCATAAGCAGAGACTGGCAGCATGGCTGCTCTGCTAGTGCGGTCCACCTCTGTGCTCCCCACCCAGGAGTTAATTTATCGTTGAACTCTTATCATTAAAGAGTATTTAAAGCTGGTCCAACCCAAGATGCCTCATTTCCTCTCCTCTGACCTGCATTTAGACTTGCTGAAAAGTTTTTGTAGAAGTAAGAAACTCTCCTTGTTAACAAGGGCGAAGATCTGTCATAGCATGTACTCGGATGAAGCCCATATGTGGATCCAAACTCTAGAATTCTGAAAAGTTTTGAACTCTCAAGAATAGAGAGACGCAAGCTCTCTTCCCAAGAGAGAGAAAAGGTGAACTCTCACTGGGGGAGAGAATTTTTGAATGGAAGTTGGTTCTCGCTTTTGTTTGTTCTATACTACTACATATTTATTCCTTTTCACTAAATATGTCATTAGAATTCAAGTAATCTAATTAACCCATAATAGAAGGACAATATTCATAACATTTGATTCAAAATACAACTTGCACTTGAATGAAATTTAACAACATAGTAGTTGTGTCATTTTTGTTAGTTTAGATATTTATAAAAAAACCATTAAAGTGGAAAATTAGCTTAGTTTTTGAACTTGGGAGGGCAACCTGATGACATTAGACTAACCTTGTGGTGCAAGAAGTTCTTCTGCTTGGATTAGCATTGAGGACCTTTTAATACCAAATAAAGAAGTTTAAGGACCTATTTTACACTTTTAAAAAGTCGAGGTACCAGATGAAAACATCGCTAAAAGTTTAGGGCCTATTTGACTTACTTATTCTTGTTTTTATTATTCAAGCATTTAGCAGAAAAGTTGTGTCAAGTATATGCTTCTTTTTTGTACTTGGTTGCTGTTTTGTTACGTTTTCCCGGCAAATGGCATTCTTACCATGGCTAGAATGTAAAGAGAGTGCTACAACACTCTCGTGGGAGTGGAATCTTGACATATAATAGTACTCTTAACCATTTGAGATGATTCTCTGTTTCGTATTCGTGTTAAGTAATATCTTGCTAGTCGATAGAAATCAAGACTTGCTTGAAGAATCACTGAATTGTTTGCACTAGAAAAGTATGCTAATCTAATTTTGTGTCCTTGAATTTCCTTAGAAAGAGCTCGAACAAAGAAAACCAAATATTGTGTCCATGCATGTGGCTAGAGGTAATGGTGTCATAACAATGGAAGAGGCTACAACAAGGATAGAGGAGACTATTGAAAGAGGCCGAAGACAACTGCTACAGATGGTTCTTCAAACAAATGGAAGCCAGGTTCCAAGAGTGTGCAAGGATTTTTTCTGGACAACCTGCAAGATATGCTTTTATTTGTACAAGTTCACCAATGAGTATGATTCTCCGAAAGAAATAGTTAGTGACGCGAAAAAAATAATTTATGAGCCCATCAAACTCCCCAAAAACATTTTCTGATTTGCAAGAAAAACCAAGAAACTAAAAGGAATAAGCAGTGAAAAGATGCCTATCCACAACATTCAACCATTTATACATTGCATTCTGTTTTTTCTTTGTGTTTTTATAGCTATACCTATTGGATCTTGTAATTATAAGATATATGTGGGGGAAGGGGGGCGCTAGAGTGCTAATTATTTGTTGAGATTGCTTTTCATTCTTTACTGTTTCCTTTTATTTTCCGTCATCAATCTAGGATAGCAAACATTGGAAAATTTGGCGGTAAGTTAAGTTTTGGTCCTACAAAGTGGTCCCAAATTCTATTTAATCCCTCAAACTTGGTCCTTGAAAGTAACAAAATGTTTCAATTTGGTCCCTCAAATTGAAAAAGACTCATTTTGGTCTTTCAAGCACAAAATCTCAATTTGGCCCTCGAATTAAAAACTTCTCAATTTGGACCTCAAAACTTAAAAACATAAAAGAATAAAAGAATTGAAGGATTTAACAACAAAAGGAGGATGTTAAGCTTAATTTAGTTGTTCTATCATAAGCTTTTTTTTTCTCCTATTTTTCCATGATCACTATGCTGTTTTTGCTCAGTTAATTATAATTACCAAATAAAGCAATTTTGGAGATTCTTTTTTGTTTTCACCATTCATAGGATCTCCAAGATGAAGTCAATATTTTTGCAACTTTAGAGGTTCAAAAGGAGATTTTTCCAATTGTATGGACCAAATTGAGATACTTTGCCACTTTAGAGGACCAAATTAAGAATTTCTTTAATTTAGGGGATTAATTGATATTTTACATTAGATAGGACCAAAAATTAAATTTTTAACAAAAAGAAGCATGAATAAATAATAGAAATTATGATTTTATTACCTATAAAAGGATCTACTTGGATTAGATTCTATATAATGAGAGAGACTTGTGAAGATTACCTTTAAAACATAGTGAGAATCATAACAAAATTGTAGAAAGTTGTGAAAAGTTCTTATCTACTTAAAACTATCCAAACATCTAACCCATAATGCTAATGCACACAAACTCCTTAATAAGAATCTCTAAGGTAGAAATTGCCCAAATTTGATAAGTGCAAACTTTTTAAGTTGTTAGTGGAAGAGAAGAAGAAACCCTAGAATTATTTTCTAAACTGGATGGCACAAGAAAAAGAAGACAGTGGTAATGACCACTCTCAGAAGGCAGCGAATTTTTGTAAATATTACGGAAATAAGAAATCATGACAAATTTGGTGTTGTAGACAAATTTGTACTCTAGTAGGGGTTGCCGCAAATGAGATTTGCGATGTGGAGAGAAAGTTAATTTTATTTTCAATTTTTTTTAACTAACACAGCAATTTAAAAGAAGAATGCAAATTTTAACAACTGGCTTAGCCGCATCCACTATTGGATGCAGCGTGACTTGTGCACCATTGATCACAAGTTGATGGATGGTGCAAATTTAATAAAAAAAAATTGAAGACGCCTGCAATGCGGCGTCTGCTCAACGCGTCTAGCTTTGGATGTGGCATAGTCCCAGCACCGCTGAGGCGTAGTCCCAGCACCGTTGATCAACTGATGAGGCGTAGTCCTAGCTTTGGACTACGCCTCAACTTTTAAAATTTGCATTCTTCTTTTAAAATTTTTTTTATTAAATTCGAATGCCGCATGCGGCGTCCAACGTAACCGTTGATCGTGGCAAAGGGCTATGCGCCGTTGATCATAATTGATCAATGGCCCATATGCTCCACCGACAGGTTTATTTATTATTATTTTTAGCCATTGATTAATGGCTGGATTTAATCGATACAAATGATGCACAATGTTTTGGCTATAAATATATCACTGGCACATCCCCATTTGTATCATTACACTCTAAGTCTCCCCAATATCTTCCTTCCATTACTGGGCTTTTCTGTCGAAGATCTTCTGCAATTGTGCCTTTCGATTTTCTGTTGAAGAACTCCTTCCATTGTGGTCCTACAATTATGCCTTCCTATTATGCAGCCAATTGTGCACATTGATTTTCTATACCGGAAAAAAAGAAGTCGCTGCTGGGATTTGAAGTCGATTATGGCTATTGCTAGGATTTGAATCCAATTGTGAACATTGATTTCCTATACCGGTCAAAAAAAGCTGTTGCTGAGATTTGAGTTGGTGGATAGCCAACATCTCCAACAAACTAATAGGTATGAAGACAAATCTATGTGTTACATTTAACTATTTTTAATAAGTATTAGTTTGTTATATTTAATTAGTAGTAATTTGTTTGTTAGTTGATTACATATAAGTAGTGTAAATTTATTACAATTGATTAGTATTTGAATTAGTTAAATTAGTAATAGTTTATTAACAAATAGTGTTCATGTTTTGGATTTGCAAGTTTTTACGTTTTAATGTTGCTATTTAGTACAAGAAATTACTAATAATTATATTTAATATGTTCCTGTTTAGGATTGTCAAAACGTCAGCCTAGTATAGTTAATAAGTAAAAGTAAATAGTACAAGTATTATGCTTATTTACAAAAAGTAAATACTAAAAGTAAAAGTAAACAGTAGTAATAATAATAATAAAAGTAAATAGTGAAAATAACAGTAAGAGTACATCATAATAGTAATAGTAAACATAAATAGTAACTGCAACAATAGAAATGGTAAATATTAACAGTAAAGAAAAGTAACAGTAATAATAATAGCAAAAATAATTAATCTTTCCAACGGTGATAGTGTATACACTGTTAGCGTTAGATAAATGATAACTATGCAAAATTTAAATTTAAAATTTAATATTTATACACGTGTCATGAATCCAACGGTGATAGTGTATGCACTGTCAGTATATATAAGATTTACTCTACTAGTAATTGTGAAAAAAATAGTAATAAGTGTTTCATTAATAAAAAAATAATAAATAGTAGTAATTACTTCTCAAGATTTTCTCTTGTTTCTAAAAATGAATCTCACGACTAAATCTCAGTAGTAATCAAATGAGTAGTCTAGGTTTCCTTCAAGTCATATTGACTTAAAACCTAATGGGCTTAAGGTGTGGTTTGGCCCACCAAATTGGTTGGACCACATGCCCAACAAGATGCACACAAAAAATCATGCATATTTTCCATCTGAAATGCTAAAGGATTTGCCTCCCTCTCAAAGTCATTTGAATGGCATTAGATACCATTCTCATCATGCTTCATGGTCAACTTTACTTCACCGATGCCAAAGTCCCTGTTAAAGCCTCAACAAGTTTTAGAATCATGCTTGTGTAATAGAATCATAGGGAGAGAATTTAAATATTCAACACCTAGTTCTACTGAAAATAGTAATTGACATCTTTTTCTTGATGAGAATGGATGGAAATGGAAGTTAAATGCACAAAAGGTAGACCAAGTAGAATACAGTATAGCATAACCAAAATCTTTTTGCAATAATCAACCACCAAATAGAGGGTTAATAAAGATATAATTCTATAGCTTGAACCTAGCACTGATGTATCATGTTGTGATAGGTGAAGTAACTAAAATTCTCACTAAATGGATCTTATATGAATGTTTCTATAGGTCTTTGTTAAACTACTTCCAATAAGAAACAATTAACTGAGAACTAGAAGTGCCTATCAAATATCCAAAACATACATACTATATAATAAACGCACATCCATCAAAACTTTTGGAGCCTTTGAAAAGCAAATGAAGAAAAAGAAGAATGCCACTAACTACTAATGTTGAATATCTAGTGTATATGATACTATGACTACTAATGTTGAGTATTTAGTGTACATGATACTACATAGAGCCAACAACTTTGCAATCTTCCTCACAAGGAAGAAAACTGAATCTTTCCTTATTTAAGATCACAAACACCATCAAATGTTCAAAGCAATTGTGGTTACCCTCTTTGAGGCATTGCAATAAAAATGGCCTTTCTTGACACACCGATAAGGCCACTTGCTTGTATATGTCATTGTAACACTTTTATCATGACATTTAGTATTAATTCAACAACACATCTACTAATTATTTTTTATTTAACTTAATTTAAAAATAGTTGTACCCCTTTAGAATACTTATTATGATAGTTAACTCTATGCGAGATATGTTAGGCCCAAAAACAACCTAAGAGGGCGAGGGAAATTAGATTATCCACACAAACTAAATAAATAAAATAAGTTTTCACCCAATAAAAGTACTACAACTATTTGCACAAATTCACAATTGTAACAAAAGTATAGAGCAATAGAGATTGCACAATTAAGTAACAAAAATAAAAGCAAGAGATAGAAATTCAAACCAAAACTTCCAAGTTTCCTTCAAACTTGAAGTTAACTCCAATCCAGTAGCCTCTTCAATTGATGGTGTTGCAAATCATCTTGTGCATAAGAAGGATCACTCTTTGTTTACCATAAATACTCTTTAGTTGAGGCAAAGAGTTTTACAACACTCTTAGTTAACCCTTACTATGCTACAATTGATTGCCACTAAGCAACCAACTAAAAGCTATTATACAAATGAGGCTTATCTACCCAAGATTTTAGTTCTTCTCTTGAGAAACCTCACAAACCCAACTTTCCTACACCTATACAACAATCAAAATGTTTTTCTACCCAAGAATCACTCTTAGAAAGCTTGTATTTTGTGTAGGCAAAGTCTTACGTTCTTCTCATACTTGAGGGTATTTATAGATGGTGAAACTATGCCCCAAAAGCTCCTTCAATGGTTAAAAAACTAACCGTTAGAAAACTAGTTGTTGGACCTGTCAGACATTCGAACCAGTTGTGTACGACGTCCGATATTCTGTTAGATGTCCGATCCAATTGCTCTGCGTCCGATCCCTGTGTCTGATGGAAGATAGAATGTTCAAGTTTCAACCCTTTTTTGTATCGGACGGCCGATAGAAGAAATGAGTGTTCGATCGAAATGTCCGATGAATACTCGCTGTTTGTCGAACGTTTGATACTCCACTGAGCGTCCGATCCTTGCATTCGAAAGGCAAATCTCTTTTTTCATCCTTCATGATATGTTATCCTCCTTTTTACAAATTGCAAGATACCTGTTCCTAAACATTTCTCATATAAAAACATTAGTTCAAATTATCATTTTATTTCGTTATCATCAAAA